AGTATTAATATCCGCTCAGTTGCTCAGGCTAGAAACCTCAAAGACACGTTATCTCTACTACCCCACCTTCACTTCAGGCACCCCATGCATATACCTGCCTTTAGTCAGCCTTCAAGCTTTCCTAGCTCTGCCTCCAAAAGGTCCCTTGAATCCATCCCTTCTCTTCTGTTCTCACTAGCACTGCTCTAATTCAGACCCTGCTTACCTATGTCATGTGAACTCTTAGCCTCCGAACTGGGTCCCTCCCTGCTTTCAGCCTCTTGCCTTTCTAATCAGCCCTTCACTCTTATTTTCTCAAAACACACACTTATCTTTAAAGCTGAAACCAGAAACATCTGATAGCTCCCCATTATCTACATAATAAAGTTTATCTATGATCTTTAGTTGTCGTAAGCAAAGCCCTTGATCTAATTGAACCTCCCTCCCTCTCCAGCTTTATTTTCTCATGATCTATCCTCCTGAACCCACCCCCAAAAACTTTGTGTTTTCCATGCTAGCCAGCTTTAGGCTACTTGTTCTCCATGTATTTTCCTTGTTCCTGTTACTCCCTCAGCTGAGAATAGCCTTCCTCCCCACATCTTCACAGCCTGTTGAAATGCTACTTATGCTTCAAGTTTCCACAGAAATACCAGCTCCTCCATGGAGTTTTTACATCAGTGTATGCTATCATAGTTATACATAGATGAGTCAGGCTTCGTTGCTTCTCTCAAAATGTTTTAAATGTCAATACATGCAAAAATATATTTATAAATAATGCTGAGTAGAAATAGCAGAACACAAACTATTTTAACATATCCATTATAATAAGTTAAAAACTATATAAATATATACATATATTGTGTGTGTGTGTGTGTATATATATATATATATATGCATTTCTCTACATACTTATATATGGACAGAAACAGGCAAAGAAAAACAGAGACTGATGGGAAGAGGGAAGATATGTAAATACTTGAGCTTGGTGTTTATTAAGGCCTCTGAAATTCTTTTTAGAACCGGGCAGAATGAGTACTTTTCAAAAAATTAATGATAATGATCCTTGTTAGGTTCATTTTCTTTCATAAGGATGCTGATTTGGGCTTCAGTAGGTTTCCATTTTGAGGTTTACCCATATTTGGTCCAGGTGCAGGAGGCCAGCCAGCTGTCCCTCCTCTTTGTTCCAGTGTGGATTAGCTGACTTGGAGGGGCCTTGTTCCGTTGCCACCTCTGTGTAGTCATAGTCACCGGTGGTGAACAGTCTCCTCAACTATAAAATGAAAACATTACACTAGATGATTGTTGAGTAGGTGAATGGATGATCTCTAAGGTTCTTTTCAGCTCTCCAGTTCTGAGACACTTTTTGCCCACGAAACAGGAAAATACTTGAGGATAACAGAAGGTGCTGATTTGTTTTCTGCTCTAGCACCCTCACTATCAGGTAGCCAGTTGCCCTTTTTCTTTACTCCAAATTGCCAGTATGTGTTGTGTTTAAATTAGTATATTTGGCTTCAATCCAGGTACACCAATATCTATGTGGCCTTGGGTGGGTCCCTTGCTGTCACCAGGTCTCTGTTTGCTTATATGCAAAATGACAAGGGTGAGACTGGATGCTTTTTGAGGTTCTTTGCAGCTTTAAGATATTATAATTTTACAACTGGTATGCTTGAAGTACCCAAGAAGTTTTTTACCCTGCAGTCACTAGGCCATTTCAAAGTTAAGTAATAGGTAGAATGGGACTGTTCACAAAATATCCATCCCTTTACTCACAAAAAAGTGTAGATAGTAAAGTGGAGCATTGGGGTATGCAAACAGATTGTGCAATGAAGAAACAGCCAAGTTGCATCACTTACTTTAACTTACTACATTTTTCTTTTACAATGGGTATTTCTCAAGCCTTTTAAAAGTTTTACTTTGTATTAAATAGGGAATTCTTTCCCCATTGTTTGTTTTAGTCAGGTTTGTAGATCAGATGGTTGTAGATGTATGATGTTATTTCTGAGGTCTCTGTTCTGTTCCATTGGTCTATATAACTGTTTTTTTTTTTTTTTAATCAGTATCATGCTGTTTTGGTTACTGTAGCCTTGTAGTATAGTCTGAAGTCAAGCAGCATGATGCCTCTGGCTTTGTTCTTTTTGCTTAGGATTGTCTTGGCTACATGGGCTCTTTTTTGGTTCCATGTGAAATTTAAAGTAGTTTTTTCTAGTTCTGTGAAGAAAGTCAATGGTAGCTTGACTGGAATAGTATTGAATCTATAAATTATTTTGGGCAGCATGGCCATTTTCACAATATTGATTCTTCCTAACCATGAGCATGGAATATTTTTCAATTTGTTTGTGTCCTCTCTTATTTCCTTGAGCAGTGGTTTGTAGTTCTCCTTGAAGAGGTCCTTCATGTCCCTTGTAAGCTGTATTCCTAAGTATTTTTTTCTCTCTGTAGCAATTTTGAATGGGAGTTCACTCATGATTTGACTCTCTGCTTGTCTATTTTTGATGTACAGGAATGCTTGTGATTTTTGCACACTGATTTAGTATCCTGAGACTTTGCTGAAGTTGCTTATCAGCTTAAGGAGTTTTTGGGCCAAGATGATGGGGTTTTCTAAATATACAATCATGTCATCTGCAAAAACAGAGACAATTTTACTTCCTCTGTTATTACTTGAATACCTTTTATTTCTTTCTATTGCCTGATTGCCCTGGCCAAAACTTCCAATAGTATGTTGAATAGGAGTGGTCAGAGACGGCATACTTGTCTTGTGCCAGTTTTCAAAGGGAATGCTTCCAGCTTTTTCCCATTCAGTATGATATTGGCTATGAGTTTGTCATAAATAGCTCTTATTAAATGAGATATGTTCTATCTGTACCTAGTTTATTGAGAGTTTTTATGATGAAGGGGTGTTGAATTTTATCAAAGGCCTTTCTGCATCTGTTGAGATAATCTTGGTTTTTGTCATTGGTTCTGTTTCTGTGATGGATTACATTTATCGATTTGCATGTGTTGAACCAGCCTTGCATCCCAGGCATGAAGCTGATTTGATCATGTCGATAAGCTTTTTGATGTGCTTCTGGATTTGGTTTGACAGTATTTTACTGAGGATTTTCACATCAATGTTCATCAGGTATATAATTGGCTAGCCATATGCAGAAAACAGAAACTGGACCCTTTCCTTACACCTTATGCAAAAATTAACTCAAGATGGACTAAAGACTTAAATATAAAACCTAAAATCATAAAAACCTGAGAAGAAAACCCAGGCAATACCATTCAGGACATAGGCATAGGCAAAGACTTTATGAGTAAAACACCAAAAGCAATTTCAACAAAAGCCAAAATTGACAAATGGGATCAATTAAATTAAAGAGCTTCTGCACAGCAAAAGAAACTGTAATCAGATTGAACAGGCAGCATACAGAATGGGAGGAAATTTTTGATATCTATCCATCTGACAAAGGTATAATATCCAGAAACTACAAGGAACTTAGACAAATTTACAAGAAAAAAACCATCAAAAAGTGCCCACTTCTTGGATATGAACAGACACTTCTCAAAAGAAGACATTTATGCAGCCAACAACATATGAAGAAAAAGCTCATCATCAGTGATCATTAGAGAAATGAAAATCAAAACTACAATGAGATAACATCTCATGCCAGTTACAATGGCGGTCATTAAAAAGTCTGGAAATAGTTGCTGGTAAGGTTATGGAGAAATAAGAACACTTTTACACTGTTGGAGTGTAAATTAGTTCAACCATTGTGGAAGACAGTGTGGTGACTCCTCAAGGATGTAGAATCAGAAATACCATTTGACCCAGCAATCCCATTACTGGGTATATACCCAAAGGATTATAAATCATTCTATAAAGACACATGAACACATATGTTTATTGTAGCACTGTTTATAATAGCAAAGACTTGGAACCAACACAGATGCCTATCAATGATAGATTGGATAAAGAAAATGTGGCACATATATACCATGGAATACTATGCAGCCATAAAAACAATGAGTTCATGTCCTTTGCAGGGACATGGATGAAGCTGGAAGCCATCATTCTCAGCAAACGAACACAGGAACAGAAAACCAAGCACCTCGTGTTCTCACTCATAAGTAGGAGTTGAGCAATGAGAACACATGAACACAAGGAGGGGAACATCACACACCAAGGCCTGTCACGGGGTAGGGGAGAAGGGGAGGGGGAGAGCATTAGGACAAATACCTAATGCATATGGGCCTTAAAACCTAGATGATGGATTGATGGGTGCAGCAAACCACCGTGTCATGTGTATACCTATGTAACATGCACATTCTGCACATGTATCCCAGAACTTAAAGTAAAATAAAATACAATAAAAAAGTATTAGAAGTGAACTGAAATATTTTTAATATATTTTATAGGAAAATAAAATGTTGATTTTTAATACAGTATATTTTGTAGATAATTAAAATGTTGATGTAGATTTCAAATATGCACACTAATTCTGATTAGTCTAGTAGTAATAGACAGTACTTTAAAAGACATGAACCCCAGTAATCATTATTAACTTCCTTTACTGAGAAAGAGACTCAAAAGTCTTCATGAAGAAGAGGACCCCATTTTCATTTCCAAAGGGACAAACTAATTTTTGATATATGATGTTTGAGTTCAGAGTTGCTTTTGGGAGCATAAATGTTACTGCTTAAACGAGTAGTTCTTTTCTAGTAATTAGAATTTTTTTTTTCATTTTGATGGGTAGTCATAAATATTAACCACCAGCAGTGCAGGCATAATTTATATTTCAATTGTCAGACATCACTCTGTGAACACATAAAATAATTTACATTTATTTAGAGCCTTTTATCTTAAAGTGCTCTACACATTTTTCTTTATAATCTGATTGCAAAGTATAAATAGGACTCTCCCACCTGAAATAGGCCAGGAACCAAAGTAATTAAGATAAAGTATACAACTTCACAAGAAGTGGGGGAAAGAAGGAAATGTAGTATTTTTTACATTATTTCTATGTGCTCTTTGCCTGTAGGACTGGAGAATCCATGTTGACCAAATGCACCAGCACAAAAATGGAATTGAATCTGCTCTAAAGGAGACCAAGGTATAGGAGTTACTTTAGGTGAATCAATAGACATTTACTCATTTGTGGAACACCTGTTATGAGAGAACATGAAAGAAGAAAAGACACAATTTTTGCCTTTAAGGAACTTACTAATTGAATGTACCATATTATATTTCAACTAACCTAATATTTAGACCAACTAAAGAATGCTAGCATATATTCATAAAAGCTGTACATATACATATATGTATGTATAATATATATCTAATACATATATTAGAAACATTTTGTCATTCTTTCCTCTCTGAATGTTAAGTAAGAAGAGAACAGAACACCAGGCCACCAATGCCTATAACTTACAGCCTCCCCAGGCTTGCTGCCCGGCCAGAAATAGGAACTTTAGAGAATGCCACAAAGAAGCAAAGCTAGAGTGAGAAGTTGTATGTCCCAGGCTAGAGCTACAGGCTTCCGGATCTACTTCCAACTGGAATACTTCAGTCACCTTGAATTGTGCTATAGGAAACTCATGTTATTTCCTTACCTACTTTGACTGGAAACATATAAAGCTAATTATAGTCACATAAATTTTATGTATACATAATGACAAATGAATTGACTAACACTGGTAGGTGCTTTTTTATTCTAAAATTCTTCAAAGTATGATTAAAATATTTCTCATCACAGACATTTTGTCCTATTGAAAATTTCAAACTGTCCTCTTTTGCAAGTGTAGTTGATTATTTGTAGAATTGATTGAGATTTAACCCATTTTTAACTATTTTTGAAAAAAAATACATTTGTGAGTTATTCTATCTGCAAATCCCATGGAATTTCTAGGGATTTTTGGACAAACTCCATAATGAAATAACTAGGACTTTGGAAAAGATCGGCAGCCGAGAAAAGTACATCAACAATCAGCTTGAGAATTTGGTTCAAGAATATCGCGCAGCTCAAGCCCAGCTGAGTGAGGTAACTTACAAATGATTTCCAGGGATTTATTCCAAGTTAACAACCCTAAACCCTAATCTTGACACAATATTGTTCATTTGAGAATCATGAAATGCTTTTCATAAACAGCAAAACATCAACTCTCTGCCCACTTTAGGAAGCCAAGCAAGCCAAGTTAACTTATTTTCATTTTACAAGTAATAGAAATTGTTTTCTCCTAGAAGTCTTTAAATGCACATCTTCATTTGAGTTAAGTAAACGAAGGCATATGTTGTTGGGAAACATAGCTTAGAACAGGAACAGAGTATCAGGACACCTGGTTTTGTTTCTAAGTCTGTTGTTAATTTACCATATGCGTAGGAGGAAGAAGAATACTATGCATTTACATGTATCAAAGGAAAAAGACAGTCCTTGCGGTTCTGGCTTACCACCACATAAAAAGGAATGTGAAAGCAACACATATTCAGAGACAAACAGTTTAATTGATAAAATGAGATAAACTTTTCATTCTTTCAAAGTTTTAGAATTTTAACCAAAAAACAAAATCACTAGCCTTTGAAAGCACCAGTTCTGCGTCCCAGTAGTAGGGATCTAAAAGCTTTCCTTTGGGATTTATGCCCCGTATTTTCTGATGTTAAAGAAGACTCGTAAGGATACTTGTAAACATCAATTGAAGGCATATTTTTTGGCTTTACCAGACAAAGTTGAGAAAGAGAAAAAAGTAGAAATAAATTTGAGATACTTCTGTTCTTTAAGAAGTTCTCAAAGACCAAATAGAAATCTTCACTTTTTGATCATATTATTTAATATGCGTATGTTTCCTCATATACACACTTATGGATATTTTAACTATCAAAATGATGTAAAACTCTCTGATTGAAGCCACCATGTATCTGTCTAAATTAATATTATATAATTGATTGTTAGCTTCCAAGAACATACTCCAATTGATTGTCCTGTCATACTGCATGTTAATCCTTATTAATTGCTGAGCTTCATATTCTACTTTGATTGATTTTTTTGAACTGATTTTCTCTGCATAGCATGCAAATTAGATTGACCAAGAGCCACTCTCCTAAACTGTTTAGGAATGACCAAGGACAGTTTTTATTGTGAACCATGCCCATGAGAGGTACACAGTCAGTTTGTGAAGGTTAAGGTAGTTCATCATTTTGTAGCACTTTAGTTAAATACATGGCGCCTGTTAGGGACATAAAAAGGCCTCAGTTAAATGTCACTTTCACAAATGTATTCACAAACAAGGAGTGGGGGTTGTCATAAAATAACATGCAGAAATTGCAAACACAAAGAGATCAGTCATATTTAATCTGCAGCCGCTTTGATTTTGCCATTAAACAAAATATGTTTTCTCTCAGGCAAAGGAGCGATACCAGCAGGGAAACGGAGGAGTAACGGAAAGGACCAGACTCCTGTCTGAGGTACACACCGATGCTCTTGCCCTGCTTCTCGCGTGTCAGCTGGGCCCAGCCATTGAGAACCCCCAGACGGTTTAACACTGCTAATTTCAGTTGATTCCTGTGTCTTTAAATAATTTTCTTGAGGAGACAATCCCTAATTTTCCTATCAGTGAATCAATAATTGATACATTTCGTATTTCCACAAGATGCCTGAAAACTTCTATTAAATTCAACATAAAACCTGCTCATAATATTAGCACACTTATAACTTTCCTCAATATCTTTTACATAATAATAATTATTGACATAGAGGAAAGTAGGTAAAGCACTGACTCAGGGAATCTATAACAAATTTTAACATTAATCTTTAAGATATAACGTTTATTTTTAGTGACAATTATCAATAACTTGTGCGTGTCCTGGGTATTTCTCTGTCTACAATTGGGTGTGGCTTATAACCTCCTCCTCCTGAGAACTTCTAGAATGTTTGCATAAAAATAAATAGTTGCATTTATTTTTATGATCTTGCAAGAGAGGCATATATGTATTCCCATTTTTCACTGAAGAGCCGAAGGAGGAAAAAACCATGAAAAAAGGTCAGCAGTTTATTTGGGACTAAAATCCAAGATGATCTTTGGTTACAATCCAGTGTAATTAAAACAAACCTTACTGTTTTGACAAGAAAGAAGTAAGCCTCTTTTATAGAGATTATTTGAGAAATAAAGTTATTTTAAAATACTAAAAATATAACATTCGAAATATTTAGACTCTAATCCTGTGGTGCTTCTAAGCAAATAAAACCGTATGCAGAAGTAAAGTGCTCACTTACCTTAGGTAAATTAACACTTGAAAGGAGTCCAGGGAACCATTTACTTCTTTTGGAGTCGATAGTTATCCCCAGTTGTAACGTTTCAGGTGCCTGAAAAAATTAATTTGCTTTACTTGGACGAGCACTTTATTCCCAGGGAAGGTTTTACTCACCAGTATTATAAAAATAAAGCCTACTAAGTCACAATAATTATAGCTTAGTTCTAGATCATATAAAAATTTTTTCAATTTCTTAAAGATGGTATTTTCTACTTATATGAATGCTGGTTTGGAATTTTGCTAATAATAGAGGCTATGGTAGTATAATCACCAGATAAGAGTTCAGATAGGAACCAGCCTAACAGCACAGTATGCCTCCTGGAGTTTGGAGTTCGTGATTTGGATAGAGCATTAAAAATATTGTTATACATAGCCATATGATACACACATTTCTTTAGTGTCCTGTAGAGGAAAAGGTGACATAGTGTCTTATAGACCTATAATAGTAAGAAAGATATCCAGAAAACCTTTAGAAATCTAAAGTCTCTTTAGGATGTTTGTACTATTCTAATTAACAACCAATTGTTTGAGAATGGCAAGGTATATGCTATGAGCTAATTGTAAGGTTTGAGTGCCTGGTGACTAAAACAACTTTGATTGTATTTAGTATATTGCAACATGAGAAAGCTGATGTTACAGTCATTTGGTGAAGTTTAACATTAGGAGCATTCTGAAGCTGAAAAGCTTTCTATATCTGCACAATTTATCTTATTATTTGAATATATTCAGAATATTCCTAATATCTTTATTTATGTGTGCCTCATATCTAAATTAAATTTTCTTAATACATAATTCAAAAATTTTGCAAGTTTCTTACAAGGTAAGGCTCATGAAAACATTTTTTCATGAAAGGTTATGGAAGAATTGGAAAAGGTAAAACAAGAAATGGAAGAAAAAGGCAGCAGCATGACTGATGGTGGTAAGTACACGCTCATTTTAGGGGAAAAAGCAAGAGAAAAATAGCTCTTCAAGAAACCTACTTAACAAAATTGTATTAATATATAAAGACTGCTTTTTAAAACAAATTATTTGTTGCTTGTTTGAAGAAAGATTTATGGTGCAAAAATAGTCTGATATTCAGTGTACTGTTTTTCTTATTAATCAGCTGAGAAGGTAGTAGGCTTTTTTACTATAATTTAGAGGTTTTTAAAATTCAAACTGTATTGATTGAAAGGGTGGGAAATATTAAAATATGTGCTTTGTTATGCCAATTTAAAAAATATTATATTCTCTTTTCATCAAATGAGCTTTATTTTTTCTATTTTATGTACAAAAGGGCACTAAGTATATGCCCAAATGACACTAAGGCAGTGATGTAGTAACCCTTATTTTCCCTCCTCCCCAGTAGAACTGACTGGGCAGGGGTCAAATAGAGAAGAATTAATCATCCTCTGGTAATCATCCTTCATTGTGAGTGGGTTACTTTGATATGGGCCAGTACTGATTTCCAAAGGCTTTTCTATGCCCTAGAAAAAAATTCTAGAGTTCTACTGATATATACTGAATGATCTTGCAAAAGGGAATGCTTAGGGTTTGTTTGTTTGTTTTTTCAATATATTTTAACTGGGCCCATTATCTATGTCTCAAAGATAATTCTCTTTTCCCCTTTCCCCGCTTTGTATTTCCTTTTCCTGCAGACAAATATGCTAGCTCATAAAATCATCTTGAACACATCCTTAAACACCTGTTTAGCTCTTCTCCTAGAAAAGGAAGAAAGCTTAGCCTCAGTACATCAAATACTGCATCATTTTTTCATCCTAAAAATCTCAGGTGCTTAAAATGCCACAACAAAACTGTGTGAATGTCAGTAAGTTGCTGGCTATGTTTTTAACCCTATTTTTGGCTTGACAAAGTGAGGAAAATGTCATACAATTCTGTAATGCACTGATGTTCCAAATGAACATTTTTATTTCATGTTATTTTCATTCTACAGCTCCTTTGGTGAAGATTAAACAGAGCTTAACAAAACTGAAGCAAGAAACTGTAGAGATGGACATTAGAATTGGGATTGTGGAACACACATTACTCCAATCAAAGCTGAAGGAGAAGTCTAACATGACTAGGGACATGCATGTAACAGTCATTCCAGAACCAGCAGCAGGCTTTTATTAAAACATACTGTGTTTCATGTTTCTGATTGGTCGGGTTTTTTATATCAAACTATATTTCATGTTGCATAGATTTCAAAACATAAATTTTATGTTCAATGGGAATTTTTTACATATGTACACTTACATATGATGGTGATTATGATGGTTACAGCCTTTACACTAATGTAAAGTTTAATAAAGTAATTACAAATTCTCACTTTCTCACTCATATATTATATGATGGTGATTATGATGGTTAGAGCCTTTACACTGATGTAGAGTTTAATAAGGTAATTACAAATACTCACTTTCTCCCTCATATATTATATGGTGGTGATTATGATGGCTGGAGCCTTTACACTGATGTAAAGTTTAATAAGGTAATTACAAATACTCACTTTCTAAGAAGCTTTCATTAATCATTACCTATGTTAAATCTCCTACCTGGTGGCTCACTTTTCTTAGCATTCCTTGTGTAAGCCAATGTATCTGAGCCACGTTTTCTGTAGATGCTGCTGCTGTCACAACATGGACTGCTGACACGGTACTTTGCATTGCTTCACCTCTACAGTGATCATAAGTGCTTTGCACCCAGAGGCAGCTAACAATGGGTAGGCAAGATTCTTCCCAAGAACCTGAATTACGCTTGCGTCACTTTTATGGTTACCTACAATTGCCATTTTTTTAAAGTTAAAAAAAACCTTCAGTATCCTCATTAACATGTGAAGTTTATTTCTTATGAATATTTCATGGCTAAATTGATTTTATAGGGAAACTATCTTCTAGGATCTAAGGTCACTAAATAAATATAAAAGAAAAAATGGTAACTGAACAATCCGTCATGTTTGACCCTGGTCTTAGAATGACGAGAAGGTGCATATGCATGTCTCAATTTCTACCTTTTTCTGTGGTATCAGCTATACTAGGGAACCATTTTGTAGAAGAAGGAACGATGACAGATCGCATGAAGATTAGCGTCTAGTACTGATAATCTTTACTTATGCATTTTCCTGAGCAACTTTGTAGGCTAGGATTCTTGGTGAAAAAAGCAGCATTAGAGTGCCAGACTTAGAAGTGAGGGAAACTGGCCAGGGGAACACAAAGCAGGAGACAGCCTACGTTTGTTTTTTTAAAATAATTTTTAAAAGCAGTGGTAAAATTTGATAAGAATGCTTTATGTTTAAGACAACAAAAATAATAAAAATGTTATCATTTTTTACCATAATACTTTTCTCCTCTGCATTTTTTTTCTTAGCTTTTACTTTCCAGATGTATACCCTGACATGCTCACATACACAGACCTTTCCCTTTCCTTACTAGACCTCTGACCTCTCTCTAGTTTAAGTTTAGATAGGAGAAAGTTAGTGTATATAAACTACCCAAGAGGATGACAGTCAATACAATGACAAGCCAGTTTAATTTGTTTAAAAAAAAAAAAAAAAAAAAAAAAAGGAAGAAAACTCACTCTGGGAAAATAAGCATTTTTAAAAATCTGAAGTTGCTCTTTCTTGAATGATCTTTGGAAGGAGTCTAGTACAAAAAATGAAACACAAGCTTTGAGCCTGGGAATTTATTTGCACAGCTGTTGTCATGCCTGAGCAGTTTTCTGATGAATTCAATCAATGCAGAGAACACTTTTAGATAAATCAGAACTCTCCATAAAATGTATTTCTACTCAGAAGCAAAGTACACTCTTTATTTTATGCAAACATGTAAAAATCTAACAATTCTTCCAATGAGTAATATAAGCTGCCTATTTTTACTTCCTTCTCTGAAATAATTCGGTTAACTCAGGTTGGGCTCTGTGCTCTTCCTTTCTTCCTATAGAACACTGGGCTTATCTTGAATAAAGATCTTATTCTACTATATTATTATTTTCTTCTGTCCTGCCTAATGGATTGAGCTGCTTTAGCATAGGACAAAATCTTTTCTTTTCATATTCCTTGCCAAGTGCCCAGCACATACAAAGCGTCTAGTAAATGCATTGAGTTAGTAAATGGATGTACATGACTGGCACTGTGTGGTTGCAGTATATCTTCTAGCACTTGTTCTACAGCATGAAGAGTTAAATGACATTAAGCCTGTGTGCTTGGTGTAGTTTCAAGAGAGCAATTAAAAATTACGGGTTTTTTTTTCCTATGGTATTGGATTAGAATTAGAAGCATCAGTATGAATTCATGAGTTTTAAAAAATATGTATAGGTTAATATAAATATACAAATATTTAAAATGTAGAAATACATACACACAGACACACATGTATTTCCTAGTTCTGTCCTCTGAGAGAGCCTGGTAGCAGTGTCCAACAACAACCGTGGGCACTCAGATCTTGGTGTCTAAATTCTCTACTTAAAAAAAAAAGAAAGTCTTAGATGTCTGATTCCTGGGCTGTGACAGGGAAAACACAAATGAGTCTAAAATACTTGCTCTCCCGGAAAGGAAGTACTCAAATAATGATGGGAAATATGTAAAGGACACAGCGATTGAGGGTTTAGCACTGGCCAGTCTGGGGCAACTTGAGCATCAAAGTAGATCATCATAGTAATGAATAATAACACATGGAATAAGAAACCATGATCCCACACAGATATGAATGAATGAATAGAGAGCTGAAGAAAGTCTTCCTGCTCGTGTAAAAGGAATGCTGGATTTAGAAAATCACATGGCATCTACCATGGTAGTAATTTTTGGAGTGAGAATCATCAATGGATGCTAAATTAGTAGGTGAAAGTTTGATGAGAAACAGGATATGTACATAGTCTCAAATTATGTAAGACACTCCGCAAGGAAAAAGTTGTTTGCAGTATAGAAACCTAATAGACACCACTTTAAGTAATAAAAGTTAACATCACTAGTAGTGAGAAAATTAAATACCATATGCTTGCTGAGAAGAGCACACACATGGCTCCTACTGAAAATGCATACATAACCTGAATCTACTCATGAAACATCAGGTGAATCCAAGCTGACAGATTTGTACAAAATAGCCTATCTTCCTCAAAAATAATGTCATGAAAAACAAATACTAAGGAACAGTTCCAGAACAAAGGAGACTAAAGAGGTACAATGGCTAGATGCAACAGGGTATTCTGGGCCAGGAAAAGAAAAAATACATACATATGTATATTTTTAATGTGTACACATATCTATTTGTGTGTATAGAACATTTATATATATACATGTGCACACAGGCACACACACACATATACATATATAAAAGCAGTGGCTCCCAACTTTTTTGGCACCAGGGACCCCTTTCATGCAAAACAATTTTTCCACTGACCAGGGGCTGGAGGGCGGGGGTGGCTCTGGGATGAAACTGTTCCACCTTAGATCATCAGGCATTAGTCAGCTTCTCATAAGGAACACACAAGCTGGTTTCCTCCTATGTGCAGTTCACAATAGGGTTCCCGGTCCTATCAGAATCTAATAATCTAATGCTGCTGATCTGACAGGAGGAAGAGCTCAGGCAGTATTACCTGCTGACCTGCTGCTCACCTCCTGCTGTGCGGCCCAGTTCCTAACAGGCCAGGGACTGAGACTGCTACTGGTCCATGGTCCCAGGAGTTGGGGACCCCTGTTATAAAGGACATCACTGGCACAACGGGAAAAATTTGAATAAATCCGGTGGATTGGATAATAGCACTAATGTTAATTTCTTGGTATTTATGCTGTAGTTACATAGGAGAATATGCTTTTAACAATACACACATGTATTTGGTTTTAAAGAGGCACCATGTCACCAACGTACTCTCAAATGGTTCAGGAAAAAAGAAGTGTGTGTATTTGTATACATATACAGAGAGAGGATAATGAAAAATGTGGGGAACTGCTAACATTTTGGGAATGTGGGAGCAGGAAATACTGAACTCAGTTGTACTTTTAAACACATTTCTATAAATCTGAAATTATTTCAGAATAATAGTTTAAAAAATGATAGTTCTTAAAGATTATATGCTCTATGTGGAAGTCAGTCTTTCCGTGAATCAAATAGTTAATCAACTTGTTGAAATAGTGTGTCACTCCCAATAAGATTCCATGGCCCATTGAAAACAACTTTAAAAATTTTATAGTCATTGATGTGCTGGCCAAGTAGAACAATTTTTTGGCAATTCTAAGGAAGGATTTTTCTACAGCCCTTTAATTTATCTAGGTCAGCACTTCCCATGAGTTTTACCCATAAACAAAAGTTTGTGTAATCAGGGAAATCTGAGAATGGTTTCATTTTCTTCATGATTTCCTGTCTACATTGTGAATCTGCAATCAGCAAATGTCCCATTATTTTCCACAAATTTATACAGTCTTCTCACAGTGTCCTTGGGAGAATTGGTTCCAAAACCCCCCGAGGATACTGAAATCCGTGTATGCTCAAATCCCCCGTGATATTTCTCCGCTCCCTTCCCCTCAATTTGTATTTCATCGTCTTGGGGAGGAATGAGAGGGGTGGGGTCAGAAATTTTAAAAAGCTTCTCATGTGCCTTTGATGCGGCTTATTTAAGAACCACTTTAGGGAGCCACCAATCTAGAATTTTTCCCTGACTGTGTGTAAACAAACCATCTTAGCTTAGAAGAGGCCTTTAAAAGAGGATCTAAATTAGTGATTCTCAGTGCGGCCTGTGGATTCCCTTAACACTAGCTCTGCCTTGGCAGATTTTTAATAAATACCTTAGATGACTTAATACACACTGGACTTTAAGACATGTTGATATTAAAAACTGTCACTTAAAGTCAGAAAATCCAAAGAACAGGGTAATCAATTGCATGGCTTCTGAAATGGTTTTCAGTGTAGTTTAGAGCAGCCCTGTGAGAACTTTATGACCACATCTCCTGTCACCCACCCTGTCCCATCCATATTCTAAGGCACGATTATACAGTCATGTTTTCATTCACGCCCAGTGACTTTTATCCTACTCCCTCTGTGAAGATTTGTGTATAGAATACACTGGGAATCCAGACACCTTTATTCCAATCCCAAATTTGCTAGTAAAATGAAAAAAAAAAAAAAAAAAAAAAACATTTTTTTGTACTCACAGCACTTCTGACACCAAATATGTGAGTTTTTTTTTTTTTTTAACACCAACAACAAATTCTCCAGCATTTCGAACACCAACTGAGTGTCCGACAGTTCTATTCATTTCTGACACTAAATATCCAGCGTTAGCACAGATCCCACTGATTAAGAGCTCAATCCCACAAGACTGCTCCCATTTTAGATGCCAATGACAAGTCAAGGCCACCTACACTTCTGAACAACTGGATGTAAGTTGGGGAGTCCCATGATGATCTTCTCAGGTTTGAGCGTTTGCTACAACA